CGCATGGGCTTCATCAGCCAATCAGCCAATCATAATAAATAGAAAAACCTACCACGTGGATGCGAAGTCATCCTTGAAATCATGAAGAACTTCATGAAGAACTTAGCAAATTGTTGGAGATTAGTCACTATTTATTGTAATTTAAAATAAAAAATTAAAGTCTAGTTCATATCAATGAGATAACGAGACAATGAGATAAATTGCTGTTGAGAAAAATAAAAAAAGATCAAAGAACTTCCCAAASTGAAATCAATGCATCTTTTTTCTTCTAGAATTCTCAAAGGTGACTAAAATGCTGCATTAAGGTCACTGTATAATTTTATCAGTGATGGCGGACATTCAGAAAGTCAAGCTCTTCGTTTGGTTCTGTCTTTTATGCGTGAGTGATGATTGGCTGACCGACGTAACCAATAATTCCCTAATTTGCCTATTGGAGGAATGTTTAGTGATGGTAACTTACTTTCACAATATCATACATGTTATGATAGTTTGCGGGATGTTGGGAGATGCTTATCGCAAATCGGGAGAATACAAAAAAGCCATCGAATATTATGAAAAGACCCTTAGCATTGCTAAACTCACTGGTGAGAGAAAGGTGGAAGGAAATGAGTACAGTAACTTAGGAAATGCCTATGACTCATTGGGAGAATATCACAAGTCTATTGAATACCATGAAAAGAACCTTAGCATTGCAAAAGAGATTGGTAACAGAGTGGGAGAAGGAAGGAGTTACGATAGCTTAGGATGTGCCCATCTCTCATTAGGAGAATATCACAAGGCGATTGAATATTTTGAGAAGGGCCTTAGGATTGCAAAAGAGATTGGTGACAGAGCGGTAGAAGGAAGCAGTTACGGAATCTTAGGAAATGCCTATCAATCATTAGGAGAATATCAAAAGGCTATTGAATATCATGAAAAGCGTCTTAACATTGCAAACGAGATTGGTGACAGAGAAGGAGAAGGAATGACTTACGGAAGCTTTGGAACTGCYTATCACTCATTAGGAGAATATCACAAGGCTATTGAATATTATGAAAAGCGATTTAACATTGCAAAAGAGATTGGCGACAGAGAAGGAGAAGTAAGCAGTTACGGAAACTTAGGAATATCCTATCTCTCATTAGGACAATATTACAATGCAATTGAAAATCTTGTGAAGGGCCTTAGCATTGCAAAAGAGATTGGTGACAGAGAGGGAGAAGTAAGATTTTACAAAAGCTTTGGAAATGCCTATATCTCATTAGGAGAATATCACAAGGCGATTGAGTATCTTGGGAAGGGCCTTAGCATTGCAAGCGATATTGATGACAGAGAAGGAGAAGGAATGACTTACGGAAGCCTTGGAAATGCCTATCACTCATTGGGAGAATATCACAAGGCTATTGAATATTATGAAAGGAGCCTTAACATTGCAAAAGAGATTGGCGACAGAGAAGGAGAAGGAAGCAGTTACGGAAACTTAGGAAATGCCTATCATTCATTAGGACAATATCACAATGCAATTGAATATCTTGGGAAGGGCCTTAGCATTGCAAAAGAGACTGGTGACAAAGAGGGAGAAGTAAGATTTTACGAAAGCTTTGGAAATGCCTATAGSTCATTAGGAGAATATCACATGGCAATTGAATATCTAGAGAAGGGCCTTAGCATTGTAAAAGAGATTGGTGACAGAGCGGGAGAAGTAAGCAGTTACCGAGACTTAGGAAATGCCTATGACTCATTAGGAGAATATCGCAAGGCTATTGATTATCATGAAAAAAKTGCTGGCATTGAAAAAGAGATTGGTAACAGAGCAGGAGAAGAAAACAGTTACGGAAGCTTAGGAACTGCCTATCTCTCAATAGGAGAATATCACAAGGCGATTGAATTTCTTGAGAAGAGTGTTAGCATTGCAAAAGAGATTGGTGACAGAGCGGGAGAAGGAAGCAGTTACGGAAACTTAGGAATTGCCTATCAMTCATTAGGAGAATATCACAAGGCGATTGATTATCATGAAAAAAGTCTTAGCATTGCAAAAGAGATTGGCGACAGAGAAGGAGAAGAAAGTGGTTACGGAAACTTAGGAATTGCCTATCATTCATTAGGAGAATATCACAAGTCTATTGAATATTTTGAGAATAGTCTTAGCATTGCAAAAGAGATTGGCGACAGAGAAGGAGAAGGAAGCAGTTACGGAAACTTAGGAAATGCCTATCAATCATTAGGAGAATATCACAAGGCGATTGAATATTTTGAGAATAGTCTT